GTTTAAAAATATTTTCTATAACACCCTAACACGTATTACATATTACAATTTTTTTCATAAAAGAAAATCTAATTTTCAGAGTAAAATACAGAAGCTCTACCAAAGTATTTCCGTATTTGTTTATTTATATAAAAAAAATATTTATTAATTGATATAAATTTTTTTTTTTTATCTATACGACTATTAAATATGCAAAGAGTTTCAGTATTTAAGTATCTATTTATATAAAAATATATTTATTAATTTATAAAAAAAGGTTTTTATAATAATAAATAAATAAAAAAACTCTATCAAACTCCAAAATCTATCTAATAAAATTTAAATTAACCTATTTATCTATTTATTATTATGAATTTTTTAATAAATGAAAATCGAATTAGACAAAAATTATGAATATATAAAATATTTATTAATTGAAATATAAAATAAAATAATTTTTTTTAAAACTATACCACAAATAAACTTTTATTATGAGTTTCTTAATAAAATTAAATTTAATTAGAGAAGGATATATTTAAAGAAAATAAAATATTAAATATGCAAAGAGTTTCAGTATTTCAGTATTTATTTATTTATATAAAAATATTTTATTAATTGATATGAAACGAGTTTTTTATAATAATAATAATAATAATAAACTTTATAAAACTTTAAAATCTACCTAATAAAATTCAAATTAACCTTTTTATCTGATTATTATTATGAAATTTTTAATAAAAGTAAATCTAAAGTTTCAGTATTTATTTATTTATTTCAATAATATTTATTAAATGTGGAAAGAGTTTCAGAATTTTAGTATTTATTTATTTATATAAAAAATATTTATTAATTGATATGAAAAGAGTTTTTATGAAAAAAAAAGCTCTGTAAAACTCTAAAATATACCTAATAAATTTAAATTAACCTATTTGTTATTATTAATTTTTTAATAAAAGAAAATATAATTTTCAGAATAAAATACAAAAGTTCTGCCAAGGTGTTTTAGTATTTATTTATTTATATAAAAAATATTTATTAGTCGATATAAATAAAGTTGTTATTTATAGTATTATTACATGTGGAAAGAGTTTCAGTATTTAATTATCTATTTATATATAAAAAATATATATTTATTAATTGATATGTAAAGAGTTTTTATAAAAAAAAGTCTATCAAACTCTAAAATCTATTTAATAAAATTTAAGTTAACCTATTTATCTATTTATTATTATGAATTTTTTAATAAAAAAAATATAATTAGACAAGAATTATGAATATAAAAAATATTTATTAATTTATATATATAATAAAATAATTTTTCTAAAACTCTGCCACAAATTAACTTTTATTACGAGTTTCTTAATAAAATTAAATCTAATTAGACTAGGATATATTTAAAGAAAATAAAATAATTTTTTTAAAACTCTATCACAAATCACATATTTTATAATAAAACTCTATCACACTAGACAAAGATATAATATTTAAAGAGTTTCTATAAAATTTTAACACAAATTTCCTTTTTATATATTTATTAAGAGTTTTTTAATAAAAGGAAATATAATTAGACAAGTATTATTAACGTAAAAAATTATTTATTAATTGATCTAAAAAGAGATTTTAAAGGACTTTCTATAAAATTCTAACAAAAATTGCCTATTTATCTATTTATTATGAGTTTTTTTAATAAAAGGAAATCTAATTAGACAAGCATTATTAAGACAAAATATTATTTATTAATTAATATAAAAAGAGGTTTGAAAAGAGTTTTGAAAAACCTCTAACACAAATTACATATTTATCTATTTATTATTAGTTTTTTAATAAAAGGAAATCTAATTAGAGAAGAATTATAAATATAAAAAATTATTTATTAATTAATATAAAAAGTGTTTTTTAAAAATTTTCTATTCAACTGTAACACAAGTTACCTATTTATTTATTTATTATAAATAGATTTACAGAAAATAAAATAATTTCTATAAAACTTTATCACAAATTATCTATTTTATTTTCTTTAAAATTCACATATAACTTGTTTTTATCTATTTATTATGAGTTTTTTAACGAAGGAAATCTGATTAGAGAACGTTATATTTAAAGAAAATAAAATATTTTTTTAAAAGAGTTTATATAAAACTCTAATATAAATTATCTATTTATGTATTTATTTTGAGTTTTTTTTTAATAAAATGTAATATAACTAGACAAGAATTATTAATATAAAAAATATTTAATAATTGATATAAAAAATAAAATAATTTTTCTAAAACTCTGCCACAAATTATCTTTTATTATGAGTTTTTTAATAAAAAAAAAATCTAATTAGAAAATGTATATATATATATTTAAAGAAAATAAATAATTTATTTAAAATTTAACACAAACTACCTATTTTATTTGCAATGAAACTCTATCACATTAGAGAAGGGTATATTTAAAGCGTTTTTATAAAACTCTAACGCAAATTACCAAAACTTTAGCCCAAATTAACTATTTTATTTTCTTTAAAACTCTATTATATATAACCTATATTTATCTATTTATTATGAGTTTTATAATAAAAGAAAATCTAATTAAATAAGGATATATTTAAAGAAAATAAAACAATTTCTATAACTCTATCACATTAGAGAAGGATATATTTAAATAAAATATATAATAATATAATAATATATATAAATAAAATATAAATGTTAAAGAATTTGAACATTTCAGTATTTATTTTTTAATATAAAAAATATTTATTAATTAATATAAAAAGAGAACTCTATCACATATAAATATATAACCTTGTATTTATCTATTTATTATGAGTTTTTTAATAAAAGAAAATCTAATTTTACAAAGATATATCTAAATAAATTAAAATAATTTCTATAAAACTCTACCATAAATTACCTATTTAAAGAAAATAAAATATAACCTAGGGTCTTCCAAAAACCACAAACTCCATATAATAAATTTTTATATCAATTTCAATCTAATGTATGATTAGTGTAATTGAATTTCTATATTAAAATTAATATAATTGAATTTCTATTGTAAATTAAAAATTATACTAAATTTCAAATTACCTAATAAAATTCAAATTACAAATTACCTAATAAAATTTAAATTACCTAAAAGAATTTGTTACTTTGCAAAACTCAAATATTTCACTATTAAAATAAAAAATTATTAATTAATAAAAAATAAAATATACATATTTCAGTATTAATATAAAACCGTAAAAGAATTTATTAATTTACGAAACCTAAACTGTATCAACAATTTCAAAATATTTCAGTATTTATTTATTAATATAAAATAAATATTTATTAATCAATATAAAAAGAGTTACAAAAAATTGTAATTTATTTGTAACGTTTATTGTTACAAGCTTTAAATCAACAATTAGAAAAAAAAAAAAAAAAAAAATGAAAACAAAAATTTTATAAGTTATAAAACATTCACCACGTGCATCACACGTGCCTTTTCCTAATATATATATATATATATATATATATATATATATCATATAAAGGAGGCGACATTTTTCAACATTTATACTACAATCTTAAATTAAATGACAATTCTAACTGATTTAATTAGTTACTTATTATTATTTTGTTTGGATTAGTTTTAGAAAAATATATAGTTATTTAAGTCATATACAATTGTAGTGCTTGATAGAGTCATGAGTTTTGAGATTGTTAAAAGAATTGTGGTTGAAAGTGAATGATTTGAAGATTTGATAATGGGATAGATAACTGTTGTACAAGCAAGTTATAGTTCTTTATTTAGTTATTCCTTTTGAATTTTTTTTTTTTTTTGATCAATTATTAACCTAGAGTTTGGGCCCTCCACTTTTCGGCGTGAGAAATTCAGTACTTGATGAGGCTAGAATCCCGGCTACCTAGTGAAAAGGGGTTGTTATCCACCTTTATCAAGCTTTCAATACACTACTAGCCCAATTGGGATATAACCAATTCAATAATCAACAAAGCATGTACCCCATAAATGAATGCCAGTGTGCGCCTGTGCTAGTGTAAAATCCTATAGTGAATCTCAAAACAATCACAAAATCATGATGATGTGGACCACAAGTGCAAGTAGGATATCATTCTTTTGAAAAATTTACTCATAAATGGAATCCACAAGGCATACAAGGAGTATTGGACTCTCAAGTCATGCAATTTTTAAATCCTAAGCAATATAGTCACCAAAATATCAAAATCATCGCTAGTATGGACCAATCATATAAAATCTCTCAAATACACAAGTCATGCTCAAAATTTTGAATTTAAAAACAAACACTGCTAAGCGCCATTACCCCCAAACTTAAATGGCACAATGTCCTCAATGTGCAAAGAGAACAAAAAGAAAGAGTATACCAATGCAATTAAGACAAAGAATGGCTGGGACAGAAGTATCCAAAGTGGGTGGCATAGCCCCCCCAAACTTGGGATTAACTGTGGTCCTGAAATTTGGCACTTAAATAAACTCATCAGATAACAAAAAGGATAATAACAGTGCACAGTAGATATGCAAGTGTAAATGGGATAACAACTGAAAAATAGAGAGAGGTAAAAGGGTGGTCTTGAAAATTTTGGGCAGTACTCTCTCTTACTGAAGTCATTGGGATGCACCTAATGGAGTCAAACAGATAGTTATAAGAATATGAAAATATGACATCTATACAGAGAACATATATAAATAAAAAAATAAAGTACAGTACATCCAGTATCAGAGCCGACAGACACGGCTGCAAAAATAGTATGACAATATAAAAAATATGCAGAGATCATAGATATATAAAATGACAGGAGGAAAGGGATAGAGAGATCATGAAGAAGAGGTAGGACAGGTAGGTCGCGCTCCACGGATGTCTCTGGATAGATCTCTGAATGCGGTCATGACATCCGTACAGAGGGAAGCAATATCAGCTCTAATGGAGACAACATCCTCTCGGAGAGACACCGTGTCGGTGCGGATAGATACTACAATATCCTCCAAAGCCTGGAGTCGCTCTCCAAAGCCAGGTGTCTGTGCTGGAGCCTCAAGTGTGGTTGGATCAGGAGAATGATGATCCTGAGCCTGCTCCGCATCGTGAATGGGTGACCTAACTGGAGAGTGCTCCTTTGCGTCCTCTGCAGGCTGCTCCAAATTGATGTCTATGTGTACAGCAGCCGGATCGACTGGTATATCGTCCGTTGCCGGGTTTGCTGCTGCTGCTGCCTGCTCTTCTGCCTCTAAATCCTCAGCTGCCTCGACAGCATCGTCCCTCAGGCTCTTGATAAGAGCATTGTAGCTCTTATCCCAGTCCTTCTTCTTAAAGGAACAGGCCCCAGACTCAATCTGCTCCCGTGGCTGGAAGGGATAGCGCTGGTCTTGTAGAATTTGGGTGATGAGATGGCCAAATGGAAGATACTTAGCCCTTTTGGGCTTGGCCTTGCTGATGTGGTCGACATACAGCTTCATCATGATGCTCCAGATAAGCACTGGAATAGATAGCTAATGCCCTGTATAGAATGCTTACAGAGCTGTCAAATAGTCGCCGCGCCTCTGTGTCTTTTGGCCAGCCATGAAGATGTTATGGAACAGGACAGAGTCAAAAAACCACAGGTCATCTGGAAGATTGGTCCGGGTGGCATAGGTCTCGCCACCAACATAGTGACCTGTGAGTAAAACGGCCATGTCTACATATGTGGGACTGTAGAGAGTGGGATATGTGTCCTATAGCTCTAGAGGGCAGACATGTGGACACTGGCAAGATCTGGATAATGTGTCCACAGTGATGCGGATCGGGTAGCCATCAATGGTGGTCCGCAGCTCCGCCAGGTTACTCGGGGCAGGCCGGAAGTTCTGGTAGAACATTCGGACCAATCTCGGGTACACTTGGTATGAGACAGGGGCTAGTATGGCTGAGATGCCCCGTCTGAAGATATCATCATATGCTGACCGGGTAAGGAAAAGAAGTCTGTGTCGAAGACTGACTTATGCGCCACTCGAAGGCGTGAGTATTTATGTAATGGCTGGTCTAACTCCTGGGCTGGCTAAGTTGGCGGTGGTGGTGGAGATGGTATGTGCTCAGCCTTAGCGTCACCGTGTGAGGGAGATGCTCCGTCTGAAGACTGTAGGCAGCTGTCAACTGGAGACTGAGGTGGAGTGGGCTCCTGGGCATGAGATGGACCCGCCTTGTCATCCAAACTCGGCCAGCCCCTGCGGCGATAGTATCCGCGGGCTACAGTCTTGACCCTAGCCATGGTCTGCAAAATAAAAGGAAAAACTTGCAAAGAAAGTCAGTGCTGATATAAAAAATTAAAGCACAGTTCATAGAATCATATATGTCAAATAGGATAGACAAAACAGATAAGGAACATGAATCTATTTAAGTAACAAGGAATAAGTGACATGATGTGAAACATGCGAGACAGTATAAGTATGGAATGCATCCAATGTGGAAAACACAGGCATTAAGCATGTATGAGATGGCATGAAACACAAGAGATGATATGTAAGATGTGTGAAACAAATCTGTGAAGTTCGATCGATCACAAAAATGTGAGATCGATTCAAGTTCGATTGATCAAGAATGAGTGAGAACGATCTGTTACAGATCGATCGAATAAAAAGTTTGATCGATCGAACTGTGAAGTGAAATTCGAAAAGTCACAGATCTGTGACGTGGACGGCACAGGGCCTTCACAAACATGGTCGTGGGCCCATCAACACAACAAAGCATCAATCCTAATCACTTTATGAGGCCCATACTCCCAAAAATCGAAACAAATCTCAAAATATATACAACCATATATACATATATATACACATATATACAAAGAGCTTCAAACTTCATCAACGGAGATTTTCAGCATCAAAATAGCTTAGATCTAGCATTTAGAACATGTGTGGAACAAATTGAAGCTTGAAATCACAAGAGGGAGATTCAAATCTTACCGGAGTGAAGAGAGAAGTGGAGATGCGAAGGGGGGTGAGATGTGAGTCAAGATCCAAGAGGAGAGAGAGTGATTCGATGCCTGGGATGCTCGCTGGAGTCTCGCCGGAGATGGGGAAGAGTTGGGATGCAGCGGCGAAGGGGGAACGAGGGTCTGAGATCGATTCAAGTTGAATCGATCGAATGACCCTGAATCGATTTTAAAAACATTTCCTTGCTAGTTCTATCGATCGAACTGAATCTCAGATTGATCGAACTGACATCGATCTCTCCTCTTAAGTGATAAAGTATTTTTGTGATTTTTGAAAAAGTAAAATAAAAAATAAAATAAAAAGTAAAATATTTTTACGATTTTTTTAGGATTTTTGAAAAATATTTATTTAATTAATTAAAATTTTTTTTTTTAGAAAATAAAAATAAAAGTGACAATAAAAATTAAATTATAAAATATATATTTTGGAAAATAAAAATGACAATAAAAGTAATAAAATATAAATTTTTTGAAATTTAAAACAAAGTCAAAATTGAAAAAACAAAGAACAAAGATTGATCTCCCCAAGATCGATTACAGAATACCTTCGATCGATCGAAAATGCATAGAATTGAAGAAATGTTCGATCGATGAGACAGAGAGGCTTTTGGATACAGGTGGATGCAGGTTCAAAATTTTTCTAAGTGTTGGAACTGCAGATCGATCCAAGATGAAGTTGGATCGATCGAAGAAGTTTAGATCGATCTAAGAACAAGTTCGAATGATGGGACAGAGAGCGGAAATATGCAGGTTTTGTTCGAACCATTGGACAGAGAGTGATTTAGATGTAGGTTTGATGCAGGTGGGAAGTTTGATCGATTGGACTCATTTTGAGATCGATCAAAATTACGAAAAATGCTCAATTTCAACATAAAAGTGCATGTAATCCTAATCACAGTTCCAAGCAATCCATATGAACCCAAAGCCAGTATCTAGACTTCGCAAGAAATGAAATTAAAGATAGAAATGAGGGAGGAATAGGGTTTTGACACCCTACGAAATGTCTTGCTAGTCTTTAACGTATCTAGCAAGTCATTGGGCTCTTTTAGCCCGGATCAAACATTTTGTAGTGCATCCTCTCCTCAATGGGGTGATAAGTGCTTTGAACTCCACCCAACAAATGGTTCTTTAAGGAACTTGTTGGATTAAGCTCAAAAGACGTTTTTGATCCTTGGTCAAGAAAATCTTTGGGCTTCCACGCCCTTTCAAAATAAGATTTTGGAACAAATTTCTTTGGTTTCAAGGTTGAAGATGGACTTTTTAAAACTTTGGTCTCACACAAAAACTCAATTCCTTCACTTTTAAGGTCATGACATTTCTCTACAACATTAATCTCTTCATGCTTGTTAAATGAGTTGGGGGTTGAATTGAAAATATTCAGCTTTACCTTCATATGGCCAAATGAGATCTTCATTATCCCCGTCCTACAATTAATGTTGGCATTCACGGTTGCCAAGAAAGGACGGCCAAGGATAATGGGAATTTGGCAAGACGGCCAAGGATAACGGGAATTTGGCTCTTAGGATTTGGGACCGGTTCCATGTCAATGCCATTGAAATCAATGGGAAAGAAGAATTTATCAATTTTAATCAAGACATCCTCAATGATACCCCTAGGCTTTTTGATTGATCGGTCAGCAAGTTGTAAAACTACTGACATTAGTTTCAAGTCTCCTAAGCCTAATTTGACATATACCGAGTATGGAAGAAGATTAACACTTGCTCCTAGGTCAAGAAGAGCCCGATTAATGATATGATCACCAATGATACATGAAGTGGTAGGTGAACTGGGGTCCTTAAATTTTAGAAGAGTGTTATGCTACAAAATTGAGCTTACTTGCTCGGTTAAGACCACTTTTCTAGGTGCTTAGCTTTTGTTCTTCCTCTTTTGGGTGCACAAGTCTTTCAAGAATTTGGAATAAGCCGGAATTTGCTTGATTGCATCCAAAAGTGGAAGATTGACTTTCACTTGCCTAAACACGTCTATGATTTCATTTACTTTAGCCTTTTGCTTGTCATTTGAAATGGATCCTTTTAAGGCATCCGGGAATGGTGCTTTTGGTTCAAAAACCTTTTCAGAATTTTTTTTTGAAGTCTCTTTAACACAAGAAGTTTTCAAATCATTTTGCAAATTTCTCTTTTCAAATCACTTTTCAACACATTCTCATTTATATGGTCATGAACATGCAATAAAGGAGGAATATGATATGAAATGGGATGGGTGTTAACTTGTGGTTGCACCGGTTCACTCTCTTCACTGGACATACCAACTTGGTTGTCCACAATCTTTCAACTTCTTAAGGTAGTCACCGCATTGACATGCTCTATTGTGTGACCTTTCGATGAGGAATGAGTCTCCACAACACATTGTTGCTTTTGTGGGGCATTCAAAGGCATTTTCACTTTCTCTTTAGCATTTAAAGTGCTAGCTATTTGCCCTACTTGGGTTTCTAGCTTAGCAATGGATTGAGAGTGAGAATGAAGTAATTGTGTGTTTGCCTCTAAAGTGCCCAAAGCGGTTAAAACTTTATCTTCAAAAGCAGGACTTCTAACATTTCCTTGGGAATGTGATGGTTGATTAGGAAAATGAGAATTAGAAAATTGGTTTCCTTGTGATTGGTATAATGATCTAAAACCTTGGGAACCTTGTCCTTGTAGTGGAAGTGGAATGTACTTTCCTTGAAAACCACCTTGGGAAGGGTTTGAGCCCTCCTTTTGGCTTTTCCAAGAGAAATTCGAGTGATTCCTCCAACTAGGATTATAGTGATTGCCATAAAGATTGTTCCCTTGATTAGCAAAAACAACATTTGCTTGTTCATGATGCTCACTTTGCACATGTCCATGGGGACAATTGGAAGTAGAATGTAAAACACTTGAATAAGTCATACATGTCTCATTAGATGCATGATGAGAATGGTTAGGGAAGGAAGATACTTGATTCGCTGAGTTTTGGTTGATTAAAAATTGATTAAACCTTTGAGATAATGATTTCATTTCGGCGGCAATTTCATTGGAGTGGTCGACTTGATGTAAGCCAACACTCTTCCTACCACTAGAATTTCTACCATTCTTCGAAGATAAAGTACGATGCAAAGAATTTTCACTCATGCTCTCATAAAGACGCCACACGTCATCCTCATGCCTATCAATGTGAGCCACCCATGGAAGCATTAACCATGCCCTTGTAATTATTTGATAAGCTCTCAAAGAAATATTGAACTAATTGCCATTTAGGCATGTCATGATGTGGACACTTCCTAAGCAATTCATTAAAGCGTTCCCATGCCTCATGAAATGTTTCTCCATCCCCATGTGAAAATTCCCTAATTGAAGTTCTCATGGCATTGGTCTTAGAAACCGGATAGTACTTCTTCAAGAACTCTTGTTGCATTTCCGCCCAAGAAGTTATTGAAAAAGGCCTAAGATTGTTAAACCAATATTTTGCCTTATCTTTAAGGGTGAATGGAAAAAGTGTAAGCCTTAAGACCTCTTCCGGCATGTCCATGTATTTCACGGTGGAACATACTTCAAGAAACTCATCTAAATGCTTGTAAGGTTCTTCACTTTGAAGTCCATGATAGTTAGGAAGCATTTGAATGGTTTGTGGTTTGATTTCATAGTGGTGTGCTTTAAATGGTGGCAATTGAATACATGTGGGTGCATTATATTCATTAGGCACATAGTGATCTCTTAAAGCAAGGGGAGGATTAGCAATTGGAGGTGCAATATGGGCACCTTGATTGCCTTGAATGATGGAAGGTGGTGGAGCATAGATTGGCCTTGGCATTCCCAATGGAACTTAGCCTTGTTGTTATGGTGGATGAACATATGGCCTTGGCATGCCTAATGGTACTTGCATGTTATCATGATGCACATTGGGGTGGAGTATACCTTGTTGGTCTATGTGGCCAAGGTCCTCCACATGGTCCTCATTGTGTCCTTCCATTGATGAAATGGATTGACTAGAACTACCTCTTCCCTTAGGGTTTCAAACAATGGATTCAAGATGAAAATTTAAAGGGACAAGAGTAGGTCTCAATGATCTACGACCATGCATGCACAATGCAACATAACAAGTCAATAATCAACAAACTTCCTCCACATACAATGTTCCCATACTCCCATGCTTTAACAATATGCAAGAAAAGTAAATTGCCTCCACGCTGGCTCACGATTTATCTAAGAATTGAAATACAAGCCTCCACGTGGGTCGACGATTTAACTAAGGGTTTGAGTAAGAAAAAGCTCACAAAGGTCCTTTAGCACTTCAACTCCAAA